TGATGCAACATTATTATTATTTCGTTTACTAGCAAAAAAGCTATACAGAAGATAACCTAACCCAACTTGGAGCATCTTCAAAGTTTGTTGGGGGACGCAGCACGATATCGTTTGTTTTATAAACAAATAATTATGTGCTCCCGAATGAAAAGGGCAGAAATTATGTCAAGAAGCGATTTCCTGCTGGAGCATCACCATTGTTTTTCGAGGGTGCAGGTATTCCATTTCAAATTTGAATTTATAAAAACGTCTTCATTGTTTTCTACTCTATCTTTATAGCTCCCACAAGTGGCTTAATTTGTTTTTGAGTATTTAGACTCTAAAAATTGCCCGTTAACTATTGTGCAATTCGATTTATATTATTTTCAGCTTTTATTGAGACCTGTATCTTCCTTTGCAATAATAGCCGAATAATCGGCGAAAGATATTAGTTCACCTGTGATAGTAACAGTAGCCACCTAGGACAACCATAACCTTGTTGGTAAAGAAAGTTGATCACAACCGCATAACAAGGTTTGATTTAAATCTTTAGTTTATTCGTTTTATTACTGTAATAACTTAAACAGAGTTGCCAGAATATGAAATAATAAGTGAAATTATTACTCGTAATTTTTCATTCAAACTTCAGTTCCTTGACACAAGTTATTTCTCTAAGAACTATCATACTTCTAACTACTTTAACCATAGGTAAAAGAATAATACAAAGGAAACTAATATATTGGTTCTTACAATACCCTTACTCAACGTAATAACTCCCTTAACATTTAACTTTCAGTTAAATTCAAGTATTATAAACACATTTCTAGCAAGACCCTTAGTCAATAGTTTGAACATTTGTAGATAAATATTCAACCTTAATTATTTTATTAGCAACTAAGTTATTAATGAAATTAAATCTAACATCTATATATTTATGTTTTTTATGCTACCGTTTAGTAGTCATCAACTGAATACAGGACTGATGGTCTTCGTGAATGAAAAAATGTATGTAAAACCTAGATCAGACAGCAAATTCTTTGGCTGCTTCTGATAATGCTACATATTCGGCTTCTAAAGAGCTTAATTCCCTGATTACTATCTCTATACGTATAAATATACACGTTAACTTAATTTTGATATACTAACATATTCTACGGCCTAATACTATTATGTATTATAGCATTACAATTATTGTAATTATCATTTTTTTTTAATACAGATCACAATTTTTTAATAGGTAGCCAACTTCAGGTACAATAATGATCCTATTACTTCATAAACATGAGTGACACTATGATCAAAACTAGTATCGTTTCATAAAAAACTTCAGACAAAGACAAATTACTTGACTTCATCGGTGTTTTATCTGATTTGCAATCGCTCATATTAAGACGTTGTAGTACGTCGAGAATATAATTCTTTTTATTTAGATACAAACCATTCTCGTGAAGCCTTACATTAATTTCTAAAAATTCTTCCTATAACCCAGATCTTGCATGTCAGAATTTAGGAAATGCCTTGGCGTCCAGTTCACAGTATACTCACAATTCAAGTGTCATCGACAGGTGCTAATAAGACAATAAAAAACGTAAACCTAAAGAAGATGCTGTAATTAGTGAAGCATTGTCATGAAAGCAGTACGATCTACGAAACTTCAGATTTGTGGTTCATGGAGTCAATGGTTATGGGATAGGCGATGTAAACATTTTGATATATAATAGTAAAGAGTGGAAACAATGCTTCAAATGTATTATATATATCTTAAACAAAGTACAATTTGTTTTTTATGGAATAACATTAAACGAGGGAATGGAGGGTCATACTGATTATTGCAAATTTATAAGAAAAGGAAATACAGCTGCAATAAGAAAACGTTCAGGTAAAATGTTTATTATGAAATTTAAGGTTGAAAAATTCAGTAAAGATGATTTATTACGTTACATTGATCTCCGAAGTGGAATAGAAAAATGAGGATTGAATGAAGTTTCTGCCGATAGCGAATTATCCCAACAAACGATATATTGTAGGAATACTATCAAAAATTTCAAGCAAGATCACCCTTTGTTTATGCGTTTCTTGCTTCAACCAAGTAACCTTTCTTGGTGGTTATTTCATGGCTTTGCTGTTCCAACGATTGGCACGAACGGGCATAAAATGATACTTCCAAAAAACAGACTTTGAGAAGTCCTAGAAGTAATCCATGGCGAAGGACGTTTAGGCGTTACGAAGACCTTACGGAAGATACGTGAGCGATTTTATTAACCAGGAAGCAGGAGCGACCTAGAAGGCTGGTAAGTGGACGAATACAACAGTAAAACCCCGGAGTGTCATTAAAGAGAATAGCAATCGGCCTAGCAGGACTATTCCCAATTACAGACTCCGATAACCGATACATGAATTACTTTCGCAAGTGGCCCGAAGCACTATACTAAATCAGGAAGCACACACTGTTGCCAAAAAGCTTGTCAACAGTTGGTTAGTCGATACGGAGTACTAAGGTCCAATTTGTTCAAAGTCACCACAAAAACAAGGACTACACTCTTACATTCACAATCTGGTGGAATGGTTGAACGACTTAAAACTACTCTGAAGGGTAACTTAAGAAGCATCGTCAACGACTACTAAACTGAGTGGGACCGACACATACCACTATTTCTCTTAGCTTAGTCACCCATGATACAAATGAAAGAACACCGGTCAGCATTATTTGGGAAAGAACTTAGGCTGCCAGCGAATAGGATGTAACCGCATAAAAGCCAGATAAAATCGACGAGTCTACTTTGCTGGTTTTATAGGTGATTAACTGTGATTATACAATCCACCAAAACGTTGCAACTGCATGTTTTAAATGGTCCTTGCACCGCTATTTGACTCATCAACGACATTATCACATGTAGGCAACCTACAAATTTGTGAAAAAACGTAAAACCATTACTAAGCTGCCAAAACTGGGCTAGTAACAAATAATGCCGGAATTCTCTAGGACCCACATTCTGGAATGAAATCTTTCCAAAACAAGTCCAACCTTTACAAATAGCTGCTGAGATTGGAAGACATCTAGTTCCAGTTACGAGGCGACAGAAGGCGGAATAAGAAGAGTCAAGAAGCGACTGAGTGGGTAATATAATAGTGAGCGAACGATTAATAATTAATAAAAGTGCTGATAATTAAAGACAGAAAGGTATTTTTTTACGCGGCAATGATAAATTTGCAGTTTTCACAGTTGCAAAACGTGACTTTGAACTGTCTTTTGCAATAACATTTGAAAATATAAACTAAGTTGGATATTTATTATTAATTGGATATAAAATGTTTTTTATGTTCCACTTGCTTAATACATTTATAATCAATTTTTTTTGGCAGCGTTGCCAACGACAATATATTTTTCAATTTTTGCAATTTGCAAGTAATTTTTTACTTTCACAAGATTTGTTAAGTAGTTTCGGAAAAATGAATTTTAATGTTTGAGGTTGCAATTGTTCTATTTATGTCTTTATTTTGTTGAAGAAATAAAACGTTATTTGTATAAAGCAATCCGACTTTCACGAATGTGTATTGTAAAATAAAAATCATTCGTTAGCGTAGAAATCTAGTAATTCCCTACAAATATTACAGCCACGTTAAATCCATGTTCACGTGCTAAATCACGTGTGTGGTTAGCCAATAAACTCGAGAAACGATGATATTGGTTTTGAATTTAATTTATTTAGTTGCACTATAGGGTGTAACAGAAATAAGTTCGGAGCTTACAGGTGGTGGTAGGGCACCATAAAATAAGAAAATTAAGTAAATGCTTGTATGTCCGAAAGTCCACCGTTTTCAAGAAGAACGTAGTTGAAAGTACAGATAAATTCAATTCCGGCCGATAATGCAATGTCTCATTCAATCAGCTGGTAATTAGCAACATCACTGCCGTGATTCTTTTGTATTTTTTTGCTCATGTATTGTTTATTTGTATGATTATGTAAATTAAATGTGATTCAACATATTTATGGTACCCACCAACTCAATCTCTATGTGCAGTAGTACAGTCTTTGCAGTAGGTCAGTTATGTCACTGTAGAACAGTTGTTATTTACCGGTTTGAACCATTTGACCGGTCTAGAAGACAACCCCTAAAATAATTAATGTGAAATTACAGGGAACGTTAACTTCTCTCATGTGATAGCCTGGCAAATTTTAAAGGAAACATGCTGCATCCTTATCATTTGCGACAAATGCAAGCCTTACTTAAAACTGACTTTCAGTAGCTTCAAAGAAAATTGCTGCAAAGCCTCATTTTTTCCACACTAATTACTATTAGTGTAAGTGAAGATGCAACTGCAAATGAGACACATTAAATTCCAATGTTTTTGGGCTACTCAAAAATTATTTCGGTAAACATCCCAAAGCCTTTCTAGAGTCCTCTGTTCTCCTATTCTTTCTAATACCTCTTCATTTCTAACTTTCTCTATCCACGGAGGATACCGTCACAGGATCATTCGCCTGTAACACCACATTCGAACGCTTCTAATCTTTTCTTTTCCGCAGCGTCCAGTGTCCATGTTTCGCACCCGTACAGCGCCGTGCTCCAAACATACACCTTTAACAACCTTTCCTGACTTATCTGACTTTCTAGATACCTAAAATCGGTCACTTCTTCTAATTTTTCATCTCCTATCTTTATATTCGCTCTTTCTTTACTTTTTCTTCCCTTGCATACCAGTATTTTTGTTTTACTTTTATTTATTTTTATACAGTAATGTTCTGTCAATACCGCTTCCGTTTTATTTAAAGCTATCTTATCTATCTAACTCCTCCTTGCTAGATACTTGTTTACTTATTTCTGTAATATCTTGTTGAAATTGTAAAGTTGCGGTGTAATTAATGACAGTTCATTCTATGATAATAATTATGAAAGGTTTCTACAATTGTCTGCATTTTATGCATAATATATTAACTAATTATTTTAGTTTAATTATTCTTTATTTATCCTGATAATTAATCAACTAGTTTATAAAGTATATAAGTAAAAATACGTACTTCCTCTTTACTCCATCGTCCTTTATTGATTGTTTTCTTTGGTCTCACTTGTTTTATATCGTCGGTATTGCCTGATTCATCAGAATCTTCATTACCACTGTCTTCACTTTCTTCCTTTAAATTTCTGAAACAGAAAGACATTTGTATTAAATCTTTAAAACACGGCATCAGTAGTTTTCTCATAAAATATACTGATTAAAATATTGTACTATTACGTTATGCACCAAATGAAAACATTCTTACATAGCAAGTTAAAGTAATTTGTTTATGTCTGGTAGAAACATTCCGCCTCTTCTGTAGTAACAAAGGGTAAAATAAGTCCATATGATGATGCGCGTACCACCTTTAGTAAACGAATATGAGACTAAACAGATTGTTTGTGTCTTAGAATCTACGTTGGAAATTATTATTTAGTTTGTTAAGGGACAAATACGCATTCGTGGAGATAAAAAAATTAATTCCCAAAACAGAAATCAAGAGAGAACCGGAAAAGTAACAGAAAAGTAACAAAACAGAAGTTTAAACTGTAGATTGTCAAAGGTTCGGTTTAGTTAAACTACATTTAAACTTAAGTTTGTACCGTAAACGTCGTGACCCTTACAAAATAAGAGGCAAATACAAAAGATGTGTTGCAGATGTTTTATGATGTATCGAAGAAAATGTTTTCGTTTCGTTGCGTTGCGATTCTCGACATTAGGTATAATAAAAAAATTAATAAATACATAGAATTAAAAATATTTTGATAATTTGTTGTCATTTCTTCCCCACAAACAATCATATAAAGTAAAAAATCAAGCTATGTATGGGGCAAAGGTTTTTTTATTTTATACTATCTATTATAACTTACAGCGTAGGTGGAAATAGCGCATAAATTCATTGCGAGAAGTGGTTCAACGGCTGGAGGTCATGAAATGTAAATACCAGAATTAAAAGTGAAATTCAAAAAATAATCATGACAAAAAAACGAATTTTATAAAACTGAAGGAGGATTTTTAGCAAAATGTCTTCCATTTCTCGCACAAATTAAAATTTGAAATAATAACAACAAAACAATAATAATAATAACAAAAATGCTACAATAATGTCGCCTTGATCGCTAATAAAAGCATGCTAAATTGCTATAAATTTTGATCATACAATACACTCTTGAAAATTTACTTATCAGAGCAACGAAAAGTTATAATTTTCAATTGAAACTACACCTATCTGCCGATTAGGTTAATTGACAGTTTAAACTTCAGTTTAATCTTAATCGGAATCTATACAACAATACTATTTACTGTAATGTACCATCATGTTATGTACACTCTGTATGTCAAGTTTTGGGTTGTTAGCACAAATAATTGTGTATTTTATTTGTAATTATTATGTAGTTTTTTCATAATGTATTCTAAATATTTCTGAAGAAAGTTTCATTAAAGTACACAAGTTATATTTACTATTGTCATAAGATAATGTCATTATCAAAATGATCATTAATTAATTTGTAAATAACTAACATCCGTTTAGTCCATTTCTCTGGTGAACAACAAATAATGAATTTTCCTATAATTGTAATAAAAAATCTACGTCATCAATCGACATAATAAAAACCCCCGACCAGTTTATGAAAGCATTAATTATTATTAGAATATTAGCATTTGCATTAGCATCAGTTATAGTTCGACAGTTGATAATTCCAATAAGTTTTATGTAATAAGTGTTCAATATAATATAAAAAAACGTCCAAGTGGCTTTACTTCAAATTCTCCCATTACATTACATTAAATTCTGGTTAGCTGTAATCTTCAGTTTAAACTGCACCTATAGAACTGGCTTTTAAGGTTGTCTTTACGTAAGCTATAATAGGGGTGCGAAATTTTCCAAGCTAGTACAAATCTAATAGGAAAAAAATAAAACCGGCCAAGTGCGAGTCGAACTCACGCACGAAGGATCCCGTAAAAAAAATTTCCAAATACTTTTTTTGACATACCGCGATCAGCTTTATTAATATAGTTAACTACGTATAGCGAGCAAGCAAACGGGTCTAATATGTACTGATTATCCAAATTGTATTTAGTATTTACTTAGTATTTGTTCTTATAGCGGCAACAGAAATACATCATCTGTAAAAATTTCAACTGTCGAAGTATCACGGTTCATGAAATACAGCCTGGTGACGGACGGACGGACAGCGGAGCCTTACATTTAGTAATGGGGTCCCGCCCGTCCAGGCAGCAATTGTTCGAAAATACGTATTTATGCTTTGATAAGATAGTATGCTAGACTTTTGTTGGAATCACTTCCAAAAAGCATAAAGAAAGATAGTTTTACTGTGTGGACTTGTAAAACTGTGAGCTTAACTTTTTTTAAAGAAAAAGGGAGAGAAATCAAAAAATCCCGTTTCCTTCAACAAATTGCGGGATACCTCCGAAACTGTTCACTTAGGAGAAGTCATTACGAAGAAAAGTTTTCGTAATTAAATTTTCTATAAGGTGCAATTTTTTGAAAAACACAAAATTATAGACACCACAATAACAATAATAATTTTATCAGACTACACTTCTATTGATCAAATACAAGACAAACTAAAACTAAATAAAGTTTTTCTGGATGATTGCATCAAAAAGCCAGACGCACACGAATTTCCAAACATTGAATTTGTTAAGGTAGTGGGAAACCATTTTAAAATTAAATAAATAAACATTTCATAACTGATATGTGTTTTCTTTTTAAAATTATTTTATCTTTAATTTGCTGAAGTACTGAAGTGCACTATAAATATATATTTATTTTGTAAGTAGTCGTTAACTTAATTATCGGAGCTGATATGAACGGGAGGGAACTAGGCTAGTATCCGGGAGGGAATTCGTCTATCTATACTTTAACCAAATTAAACTACCTGCGGGAGGGAATTCGGCATCACCGTTGTAATATTATCATGCAAAAACTATTTTAGATAAAATGTGGTGTGATTATTTATCATAATACAATGTTTTCTTTAGCCAAGTATAAAACTCTTAGCAGTAATGTAAATATATGACATTTATCTAATGTAAAACATTAATTTTGTGATTTGCAAACAATTGCACCTTATAGGAAATTTAATTACGAAAATTTTCCTTCCCCATGACTTTTTTCTTAAGTCAACAGTTTCTGAGATGCAACAATTTAATAAAAAAAACGGAATTTTTTGCATTTCGTGAATAAAAGTCAAGTCGCTTGCGTGCACAAGAAATATTATGCCCTTTTCCATATGATACAGGATTAGTAAATTACAACAAAATTATTAGTTTCAATTCAAAACATGTTAATTTAGTTAGAAACAAACACGTAAAATTAAATAAATGTGTAGTATAATCGGCAAATTAGCATAGGCCTCCCACAATTTGTTTAATTTATACAGGGTGTTACTGAAATAAGTAGTTCTGGAGGGTGTTGTAGATGCAATAGGGAATTGCATAGTGAGTACAGCAGGGTGATTAAAGGACAAAAAAAATTGTTAGAAAATCAGCTGCAATCTGACGCCAGTCCTGGGCGTGCATTACCAACTCACAGAGAAATTGCGATAACCTACATAAAAGACGCGTCTATAAATTTGACGGCTGTCGGATCATTAGTTTGTGAATTATAGCATTTTTAGTGAAGCAACTTTTGTTATTGTGAAAAAAATGGATAAAAAGGAATTTCGCGTGTTGATAAAATATTGCTTTTTGAAGGGAAAAAATACAGTTGAAGCAAAAACTTGGCTTGATAACGAATTTCCGGACACTGCCCCAGGAAAATCAACCATCAATGATTGGTACGCTAAGTTTAGACGTGGTGAAATGAGCACCGAAGACGGTGAACGCAGTGGACGCCCAAAAGAGGCTGTTACGGACGAAAACATTAAAAAAATCCACAAAATGATTTTGAATGACCGTAAATTGAAATTGAATGAAATAGCAGACACATACAGATATCAACGGAACGTATACATCACATCATTCACGAATATTTGGGTATGAGAAAGCTCTGTGGAAAGTGGGTGCCGCGCGAGCTCACTTTTGACCAAAAACAACGACGAGTTGATGATTCAGAGCAGTGTTTGAAGATGATCACGCGTAATAAACCCGAGTTTTTGCATCGATATGTGACAATGGTTGAAACATGGCTCCATCATTTCACTCCGAAGTCCAATCGACAGTCATCGGAGTGGACTGCACACGATGAACCCGCTCCAAAGCGTGCAAAAACGCAACAGTCGGCTGGCAAGGTTATGGCGTCTGTATTTTGGGATGCGCGTGGAATAATTTTCATTGACTACCCTTGAAAAAGGAAGGACCATCAACAGCGACTATTACATAGCGTTATTGGACCGTTTGAAGGACGAAATCGCCGAGAAACGACCGCATTTGCAGAAAAAGAAAGTCCTGCTTCACCAAGACAATGCACCGTCTCACAAATCAGTGAAAACGATGGCAAAAATTCATGAATTGGGCTTCGAATTGCTTCCGCATCCACCGTATTCTCCAGATCTGGCCCCCAGCGATTACTTCCTGTTCTCAGATCTCAAAAGAATGCTCGTTGGGAAAAAATTTTCGTCGAATGAAGAGGTGATCGCCGAAACTGAGGCCTATTTTGAAGCAAAGGACAAATCGTCCTACAAAAATGGTATCGAAAAGTTGGAGGATCGCTATAATCAGTGTATCACCCTTGAAGGGAATTATGTTGAATAAAAAAAACGAATTTTGCAAAAAAAATGTGTTTTACTATTTTAGGCCGGGGACTTTTCAATTGACCTGTTATACTAAATATCAACAGCTTGTTACTGTGCTACCACACATAACAATAATAAAAACATGAAAGAAAAAATTAACGTTACGTACTCAAACATTAATGTTCTCTGAATAGGAAATCGTAATTTTATTAAATATCCAAACCACTACCGTACGCACACACGCACGCACCTCCGGCCATTAGGACGCCAAGGTACAAAATCAGTACGTCTAATACAGGGTCGTAGAAATGTCGTATTTACCTGTGTGATCCTACTAGGGCCCAACTGGCCCTTGTCTGTACTTTCAAATACGTATTTTTCGAAAATGGTGGACTTTCAAAGCACCAAACATTTACTTGCATTACATTTCTTGTTTTATAGTTCTT